GGGCCAGGGCCGCCCCCGAGCAGGTGTGGGCCGGGCAGGGTGCCAGCTCCACAGGGCCTGGCTGGCTTCCTTCTCACAGGTTGTGTTATCAGTGGCCCAGGAGCAAGAACAAATGCAGGCCCGAGGTCAGCACGTCCTGCACGCCCCACGAGGAGGCCATGGCCGTCCCTATCCGTCGTCCGGAGAGCCCCTCTGTGACGCCCACAAGCCCTGCACACGGTCTGGCACCGACGCAGAGGCCCAGTGGCCTGGACAGGCCGCCCCCCTGCCTGTGTGTGGAGCTAGTGGACCTTGCAATCGGAGCACTGCTTCCTGCCTGAAGTCCTAGCACTCTGGGAGGCAGAGGCAGGAGGATCGCAAGAAAGTAAGAAATAAAAGGGCTGGGTGCATAGCACAGTATGAAAGTCCTCTGTTCGATCCCCAGCACTGAAACTACTAGAACAGAATGTGGGCCCTGAGGGAGGCTTGGTGAGGAAGCTGAGGGAAGCTGGGAAGTGTGGTGGGGTCTCAGCCACCCCTGGGGACCTCAGGCCAGCCCCCGAGCCTGGGGTCCCCTCCTCTGTCCTCCCTGAAGGGCACCCAGGCCACACCCAGGCGCCTCCCGCTCCTGGAGAGGACGTGCAGGGAGCCCAGGGTGCCCACGCCCAGCCATGGCAGCTACTCGGTGCTCGCTGGTTCACCCCAGGCACCAGGAACAGCCCCAAGGGGTCCCCCAGCTGTGCCTGGGAGGCCCTGCCCTCCACCCGGAGCCAGCTTCGGGGCCCAGAATGCTCTGCGGAGCAACGGCCGCACCCCCAGCACCCCACACTGCTTCCCTGTGACCAGGACTTGAGGAGGGTCCAGGCTCACTTTCCCGGGGTCCCCTAGTCCAGCCCCAGGCGCCTCCACAGAATGTGGTGGACACAGCTGGGCGGGGGCCTCTTCAGAGACACACAGCTTGGGGGGCCAGGGCCATGCAGGGAACTGAGGACCCTGGGGAGCCAAGCCACCCCTCAGCCCCAACCCCCTGCCCTGCCCACCCCACTCACCCTGGGGCATAGGGTGCCTTGGGCTCTGCCTTG